TGGAGAGAAATGGATCCAGACTACATTATTAGAACCTGCCGTGCATTTCAGAAGCTTGTGAAGGCCGTAATTGCAGCAAGTGGAAACTCGATCGATGATTAACATAGTTTAAGACTCTGAGAAACATCCCCTCTTTGAATAAATAAAAAAAACTCGAAAACGAAGTTTTGTGAATTTTTTTTAATTTTGACATTGCTCAATGGTGTAAACATTATCACGCATACGGTACGCTTAGTTTTTGTTTTAAATCAAATTTTTAATACCGCATGTTATTTATAAAACCTTTCCCAACTTAAGTTACGCTTTTTCTAGTAGCCTAAGAATTTTGCGTTTTTCTAGTGCTAAGCAAGCGGTTAGGGAAAATGGCTCAAAAAAGGTTTATATTGGTGCCAAATGGCTTTTATTGTAGCATAAATATGGTTTTCAAATGAACTTCACCTTTTTTGCAGCAAATGAATCTTGAAGTGCTCCGAAAAAATACCCTTCTGAACCATCTTCTGAACTGCGAATTGTGCATCCTAGTGGGACCATTAAAAAAAAGACGGTCACCCGAGCAGGAACGCCTTAAATTAGCTTGACTATGAGGTAAAATACCAAAAAATAATACCAAAAAAATGTTCCCACTGCACTATGGGTCAAGAATGCAATATAGCGGAACAACATTAATAACTCCGAAACGAATCTTGGTGTCTTTCATTATAATATGGACCATCTATTGACATAAACAGATAGTCAAAAAAGCACATCCTCGCAAAATAACAACACCTTCATGCAGGCGAATGATTCCTCTATCAGTAGGTATAATCTGTAAATTGTATCTGTCATATAGGAATACTCTCAAGAGACTAGCCCTGGGTTAAGCCCACCTGAGCGTTATAGTTAAGCCAGCCCTGGTTTACATTGTTTCACTTCAAAGGTTTGCAACAAATGAGTAGCTTTGCCACAGATACAAAAATTGGCGGGGCTGTGTACAAGACACGATCGCAGGGTTGACGTTACGCTACGTTAAGCTGTGTAGTGAAATTCTCGTGCATTTTTTCTAGATATTGATTTGAAATACAGTAGAAGTAACCCTATCATTTCGGTCCTTTGTACATATTTTGGATTTCCTACTTAGTAAAACTTGGTTAAATTCAGGACCTCATAAAAATGCGAATACATATTCTATTTCATTTGGTTCCTAAATTACAATCAGATATGAGTAAGGCTTTCTTCAGGTGATTCATTGAAGCGTCCAACAATGGCCGCCATGATGGCTGATATTCCCTATCACTTCAAGATTTCTAGGACACAAATCTTGGACGGTTGTGACATCACTCATGAAATTGAAACTCCTTGTGTACTGGACTGCAACAAACGTGAAGATCCAGTTTCTATGTTATAAGTTTTGTGAGAGCTGATATCTGTACTCTTGATTTTTTTTATAAGGTAATTAGATTGATCAGAAATAAGGTTTCCTCAGCAATTCAACTTCAAAACGCTAAAAATAAATGCACACACAAAAACGGAGTGCACAATTTTGCAACAATGTTATGCAACATTTCAATGCTGATCGGGATGATATCAATTAGCGATGAATTCCTCCAATAAGTACATCTTTTATGTACCAATTGAACGAATAAAAAAATAATACTAAGGATGTGTTCCATTTGGAAAATTTCCACTTAGATTTGACACTTCGAAAATAAATTAAGATTTTCGAAAATCGCTCTGTTGTTGATCGGCCGATTTTCGAGAAAGCGTCTGTCAAAACTGATTCCTTGTCTGTCAGAAATAAGTTTGCTGGAACAGCAGGTTATTTTAAAATTTTCCATCTGTCAAATTTAATTAAAAAATCACCAAATGGAACACAGCCTTAATAACTTGAGCACATAATCGTTTTTTGTAGTGTTTGTCGTATTAGATGCTAGATAAAAACTTCTTTTATCGATATGTGTGCTGAAAATACCTGGGCCAAGTGGATTCAAGGAGAAAGTCGACGAAGAGAATCTTGTCAGTGTTACTTAGGACCTAATGTAATATTCAGCTTGAATTGTTTCACTTACACGCAGGCAAAAGAACGTAAGAATTCCATAAGAAACACTTATGAATTTTAGCCATAAGAAATGAGTATGAATTTCATTGATTTGCCTGATGAAAAATAATGCTGACAAAAAAATAATAAATCGGAGCAGACTGGAACCGGAAAATGGACGTTGAGGCTAGGGGGCCCGTGTGTTTACCACTCGTCTTTCAACGCTTAGGAAAATGAAATGGTTAAAGGCGTATAAGAGCTACCTCATGTTACCCGAAAATCATTCATAAGTCACGCTTATCAAATTCATGTATGTTGTTCATAAGTCGAGCCTTATGATATTCTTAGGTCTATTTGCCTCAGTGTAGCTATGGTAATGTAAACAGAAAATCGATGAAGAGAATCGAACATTACAAGTCTAGATAAACATTTCAAAAGGTCCTATCTGTATTGATCGATTCTCTTCCTTGACTTTCTCTTTCGTCAATAACTCAGCTGCAAAACCTTTCCCTGATGTATTTGACTTTTTGGACGCTAGAACCTCCTTTATCAAACTATGTGGTAGAATTAGCGCGAAATCTGTTTTCATAGCAGTGGTTATGAAAAGAGAAAGTCGATGAAGAGAATCGATCAAAGCAGATAGGACCATTTGAAATGTTCATCGAGAAGTAGGCCCTTTTGAACACTCACTGTCGAATTTCAGAACCTAGCACTGAAAAAAAAAACTCGACGGTACCTCTATTTATGCTAAGTCCCTCCTACTTGAAGAATTATGCAATCGAACGGTTTCCTATGCCTCGCCCCCATCAGCAAAAAAAACTGGAGTTGTATAAACCCTTCTATATCATAATTTTCCAAGTAGGAGGGACTTTCATAGCTAATCTAAAAGCATAAATAGCAGGTACCGTCTGATAATTTCAGTGCTTGGTACAGAAATAAGTAATCTGTTTAAGAAAATCCTTTTTATCACCACAGAAACACCCCGTTTCCGTTTTCTTATGCAAAATAATGAATGTGCGTTTACAAGCGCACGAAATCTAAAAAAAAACATATTAAGTTTTTTTTAATTCAATCAATTGAATCAATAGATTAAAGTTGTACCGAGAATTAAATGGAGGGATTTCAAGCTAAAATGTTCTGATCGCGAAATATTGACTATCAATACCGAAATGTCCAACCCGTTTTGTGTGGTGTGCTGCTGATTTTCAGTGTTACCCAAAGATTAGGGAACTTTCATAAATAACGTAGTAGTTGAGGGAGGAGAGGGGTTTCAGAAGTTGGGACCGGCCATGTATTAGGTGTATTGCAAAACACGCTCCGAGGGGGAAGGGGGGTTAATTGGTCAAAAATATACGTAATTTATCGATGGCCCTAATTTTACTTTGACTCGTGGTTAAAATGATAGATGAGTTATCGAATAACCCTGCTATACGAGCGTTGTTATTTCGGACCGACTAGGAGTTAAATTTTGGTAATCGTGGCTGAGTTCGGTTTGAAAATTGATCAATTTCCGGCATTTTCGAACATTGAAAATATTTTACGAAATGTCACGTTTAACCACGAGTTAAATTTAACTCGGCAATTCGTACACAGCCCAAGAAGTATTTCTCGATTACTTTTTCGAAGGAACGTATCAGCTTTTGTAAACAACGCATTTGATCGTCAATTTGGCGTAACTGGTAGCTCGCCCACACATGCTAGTACTACCATCAGATAGGGGAAAATTTTCCCAACCTGTTAGCGGTGTTAGTATGTGGGGTGAGCTATTAGTTATGCCAAACCGACGATAAAATGCGTTGTTTACAAAAGCTGATATGTCCTTCCGAAAAGTAATCCAGATTTGTAGTTATCATTCAGGCAAGGAGCGCTTGCGCCATCGAGGCGACGCCGCTACCAGCAGCCAATGATCTCGACGGGAACGACGCGCAAAGTTCGAGGTGCAAAACTCAAACTCTGCGCGCTTGACAGGATCTGCCTTCCTACTGCTTCTGCTGTTGCTGCTGCTACTGCTCCTGCTGCTTCTGCTGCTACCTGCTTACCCGCCGTCCGAAGCGAAATTGAGTTGAAGCACATTAGCAGCGCTGTTTTATAACTTTTCTGATTTAAGCAGCACGATGTGCAACCAAATTGTACTTGATTATGAGACTGGGTTTGGAGAGAACGTTTATTTCATGAAAACAGTGAAAAAAAAATTAAAATTATCACTTTTTATTTGTCCATTTTTAAAACAGTTTTTTTTTATGAAAAATTGAAAAAAAGTTTATTGCAACAACTTACGAAAGGTATTTCCTATCGATTGTTGTATTTGGATTTTAATTTCATCCATAAATGACAAAGCTTATAGCGTTCAAAAAATTACACCTTTTCGTGACGAACGCAATTTTAGATTTTCGATTTACCCCCAGTACCTTCCCTTAAGACGTAGTCTACGTCAAAAAACAAGTTCTACACAGGAATACGGGAAAATATATAGCTGGGCTTATACGGTGCTTAAGACATACATGGTAAATTACTGCCATTGATAAGGCAAAACGACATTAAGTGAAACGACGTTCGAGCAAACGGTATTTGATCGAAACGATCTGATATCTTATGAATCCCATAAAAGAAACGTATAGCCATATCTCGTACACCTACTCTACTGCAAAATTGTTACTGCCATGACCCAAATCAGTTGGATTTGTCTGTTAAAGAAATTAGATATCAAATGAAGACGTATTTGATTAAAACAAAATAAATTCCACAGTACAACCTTTCTGAAAATTGTTCTCAAGATGTAAAAATGTGTCGCACATTTCAGAACTCATGTTACAGATGACTTTGCTCTCAAACATGTTTATGCGTATCACACAGCCATGATAGATGAGCTTGTTACTTCCAGAAACAAAACAAGTCGTAGATAAAATCAATAAAAACATTCAACGCTTATTTGAATCCGATTGTAAATGCTAACAAATAAAAATCAAATTGCCATTAATCTTTCCAGAAATACGCCTCCATCTTCGAGAACGAACGGGTCGGAATGATCGAGCTGCCGTACCTAGGAGAGGAGAGACTGCAAAAGATGGGCATCCCGCTGGGGCCTCGGTTACGAATCCTGCAGGAAGCTCAGATATCACTCTGCCGCGATACCACGCTCTGCATCGTGTAAAATAAATACAGAAGACTATCTGTTCTATATTATCAACTACTTACTCATATTCTGTAAACCTGAAGAAGCGCGACACAAACAACCGAGCCAAAGAGAATCGTCGATAAAGAAATTTTCGAGAAACCCGCCCCAGTGCTAACCCAGTAACCTCCGTCCGCCTCCCCGAGACAATAATTTTACTGTAGTCTTATTTTACTCCCATGAAGCTTACATTTATCTGTGCGAAGTCGTTCCTCGGAACGCCACTGGCTCTCGTTTCCAATACTCAACGGAAATCGTTAGTTAAAATACTGTTGAAATATACGATTTTTAATCATCATCGGAACATACGCTACTCGCTCCCGAGTAGTTTAATCGGAAAGAACAAAACAAAACAATCACTGGTAAAGCGATAACGGCTCGTCGTCCACGGAATTCTACACTTCTCGCAATCTTCCTCTAAGCTCAGTTTTCTATCGATCGACAAACGGTACGGACGTGTAGTCTTAACTTGTAGAAACAGCAGAACTCGTAGCATTAACCATGGGCAAATCATCCTTAACCATTCTTCTGCTTGTCGGCGCGATAGCGATTGTCCATACGGAAGTAATTAGCTTTGAAAATTGTAACGAAAGTGGTGAGTAGAGGTTCTTGATTGATAGAGTATAAGTATGATTGTATATACTTTAATCGTCCCATGGAAAATGGGTCTGACAGCAACTCGCACCATTACATCGTCTTATCAACCAAGGTTGGAGGTCAATCGGTGCAATAATCTCAGCATGTTTCAGACTATGAACGGAGCAGCTCAATACATGTTGTTATTTTTAACTTCTAAATCGTAGTGAAATGTACGGTTCACGAGGTACGCGTAGATCCGTGTCCGGAATCGACCCAGAATAAACCATGCGTGATGGTCAGGGGCTCCAATGCGACGATCTCTTTCGATTACACACCGGAATTCAATGCCGAAGCTGCTGTGGCCAAGGCATTCTGGACGCAAACAGCCGCGGACCTCCCATTTGTCGGATTGGACAATGAAGGATGCAAGTACACCCCGTGTCCGATCGCCGAGGGACAACGGCAGAGCTACTCGTATAATCTAACCATCATGAAGACGTACCCTCTCGTGAGTGAATAACCCTTGCGGTGATGTTGTGATGGGGAATTGAGTTGGATTTATTTTTATTTTATTTTTTTTGCAGCGAACGTACAAAGTCAAATGGGAACTGATGAACGAGGCCAATGAGATGTGCTGCTTTATAATTGATGTTTCTATCAAATCCAAAAAGGGTCGCACTCGTAACTAGTTTGTGGTATTGCTGTATGATTGAGAAAATATATAATGTTTAATTGATGAAATATAGCACGTTCTTTGAATCGAAATTCAAAAATATAAAATCGATGTAAACTAGGTAGGCTAGGTGAGGATCAAGCATAGTAACGAGGTCAGAGCATCCATTATTGTTGAACTGTAATCTGTAAAAAACAAAACAGTTGGTGTGATCCTGACCGCTCGAAGATAATTTGCATTCTCTCGACTTTGTGTTCATCCGAGTCTTTTTTTTGCACCGTCGTATTTTTCTACTCACAGTACAGTCTTCGAATGACATCCAAATTGAATGCAACTTGTTTCAAAAGATCAAAAACAATTCAAAGAAAAATATGGTACCCACTTATAAGTAAAGTTTATAAGTTCACCACATAACAAACGTCAAATTGTCGAAACTTTTGGCACTGCACGTAAACTAACACAACGACCAAAAAGGGTAATGTTTCCTAAATAAGATGGTGTTGTTAGTTAGCTTGGGAGTGCTAAGAGCTTCGACAAATTGGCGTTTGAATCTTTGTTTACAAAAGCACGTCCCTTTGTAAAAGTAATCTTCAAGTGTTTACATGTGCGAAATACTTTAAATATATATTTTCATTTTCCGTCATATACGTCATGAAACGTCGGTTGATGTGAGTCATGAAAGACGAACTGACCAAAGTCGAACACTCTGTCACTCGCCCGCTTCACCGAAGCTTGAAAGAAACACGAATAAAGCGATGGGAGAAAGAGAGACAAACAATTGACCACTTTGTCAAGCAGTTTTGGCGTGACTTTCTACCAGCGATTTCACAAAAATGGACGAACTAATTTCTATTTTTTTATGAAACGCACAAATGTTGGCTACTTTTCTCGTGGTTCTAGAAGCAAAAATCTAAAAATAATGTTTTATTTCAAAGTTCGAGTAAACATCATTTTAAAGGCTGATACGGTCAAAATTTGGTCAAGGGAAAACGTGTGTAAATCGGTGAAATCGTTTATTTAAAAAATCAAATTAAATTTCTTTTTCAAGTTCAATTAGTATAAAATTCAGGAAAAATATTCAGTTAGGCTTCCGCTTTTCCAAATCCGAATTGCCGGGCCTTACGCTTGACCCATGCCATCAGATTTTGTACAGCCACCTTGTCCACCTTCTTCGCCGCAGAAAGCCAGTTTGTTTTGAACTGCTGCTCGCCCTTAGCAGTTTTTTTGGTCTTCTTTAGGTTCCGCTTGACAATAGCCCAGTATTTCTCAATTGGGCGGAGCTCTGGCGTGTTGGGAGGGTTCTTGTCCTTGGGAACCACCTGCACGTTGTTGGCGGCGTACCACTCCATGGCCTTTTTACCGTAATGGCAAGATGCCAAATTCGGCCAAAACAGTACGGAACAACCGTGTTTCTTCAGGAAAGGCAGCAGACGTTTATTCAAACACTCTTTCACGTAAATTTCTTGGTTGACAGTCCCGGAAGCTATGAAAATGCTGCTTTTCAAGCCACAGGTACAGATGGCTTGCCAAACCAGATATTTCTTTGCGAACTTTGACAGTTTCATGTGCTTGAAAACATCTGCTACCTTTCCCCTTCCTTTTGCCGTATAAAACTCCTGTCCCGGAAGCTGCTTGTAGTCGGCTTTGACGTAGGTTTCGTCGTCCATTACCACGCAGTCAAACTTCGTCAGCATCGTCGTGTACAGCCTCCGGGATCGCGCTTTGGCCGTCGTATTTTGTTTATCATCGCGATTTGGAGTCACTACCTTCTTGTAAGTCGATAGTCCGGCTCGTTTTTCGGCTCGATGCACGGTTGTAGACGATACACCCAGCTTATTTGCGGCATCTCGGAGAGAGAGGTTAGGGTTTCGCTTGAAACTACCGGCAACTCTCTTTGTCGTCTCAGCGGCTTCCGGTTTTCGATTTCCCCCCGATCCAGACTTCCTGGCTGTCGACAAACGTTCCCCAAACACTTTAATTACATTTGTAACGGTTGATTTGGCAACTTTTAGCGATTTTGCCAACTTTGCGTGCGAGTAGCTCGGATTTTCGCGATGCTCGAGCAAAATTTTGATACGCTGCTCTTCTTGCTTGGACGGCATTTTGACAACTGAAGAGTGAATTCCAAAATCAAAATAGGAGCAACATTCTACACCCACACATCTTCAAAATGAGGGGTGTTCAGGTTTTTTAAATGCAAAATTGAAAGAAATACGTCAAGTTGATATTGACCAAATTTTGACCGTATCACCCTTTACCTGCTCGAATGAAGTGGTTAATTGAAAATTTGTTTGTAGACGCCGATTGAGGTGCTAGAATGAGGCAAAGCTGCTCGACTTCAACAGAAAAAAGAAAACTAGCAGCCTGTTCGTTGCATAGATTTTTCGATTATTTTGTGACGCCCTGCTGCTGGCAGCTTGGCACCACTTTCCTAGGGGTCAAACATTATTCTAAAAAAATAATGTATAGAGTTTTCAACTTTTTCCATGGGGACGACCCCGGCGTAGTGGTTAACATCCATAACTCTCACCTCACGCCCACGCCTAGTTCAAATTTCATGCACGAATGACCCAAATGTGTTAACACCGACGAACCGATGGAACAGCTCATAGAAGCTAGTTTCAAAATCTTGCCCAAGACGCCATATTTAAAATACGTTAAACACTACCACCATCTACTCATCCGCTCGCGACATATCATGAGCAAGGACACGAACACACGTAAAATTTATATTGACTTGGTTTGTATCTCACCTCGTTTGACAGATCTGATCGTCTTTAGGACAGATGAAATCGCTCATTTAACAAATCGAATTGCGGGCAAATGAAATGCTCCAGTGGCATGTCGGTTCATCGGTGGTGTTAATGCTTAAAATCGAGCCGGTAATTATAAACAATGGTAGATTGCTTATGTACTGCCCATAATCGCATAACAGTTCCATATAAAATTTTAATAATACAAACTACTCTAATCTATCACCAACATAGTCAGTTCTTGAAAGCATCATGGAAAATGATGGATCATTTTTCTAGTCAATTTAATAAACATTTCACATCGAGGATGCGTCACACATAACAAAATGGCCAGATCTACTGTGCGGCATTTAAGGGGCAAGATGATTCAGAAAACATCGGGCCTGTTTAAATCGAATATTTAAACACGATGCCTCAGAATCCAACGAATGGATGAAACGTGGACATCTCCGTACCGTACGTTCCGTTTTTCGTAAATTATGATTGATTGGTCATTGGGAGCATCTAGTCTAGAAAGGTTATGTGATGCTCCATTTTCCTCCAACGGTTGAGACATGAGCACTAACTCTTGTCCTAGCCTTTTATGGCTTATGGTTGTAGCGCCATTACCCGCATTCTGCAAATAAAAGGGAAAGTAAAAGGAATGGAAAGGGAGAAGGAGAAAACTGCGTGCAATATTTGTAATTTAAAATATACAATACAAAAATTCAGTACGGTATCACAAATCATCCTTAACTCTTTTGCTACGGCAATTCTCCAGACCACCGACCTTTTTCGTCACTGCTTTCCCCCTTCTTCTTCATGAATTCATATGTTTCCAATTCTAGTTTTCTTCCTTTATCCTTCTAGATCAACAGCTTTATTCTCTGCTGTTCTTTAAGTTCTTCCTTCTTGAAATCTGCAAAACTTATCACTATTAAAGTCGATCCATATAAATTTTCGTCAATGCATAGGTGTTAAAAGTCTATTTTCACGCTCTTAATTAATAGGACCACGAAAACATGGATTTGCAGTGATGACGTCTTGAACAACTTTGATGGACATAACATGCTTTATGAAGATTGAGCCATAACCTTGTCAAAGACGTCAAAATGGTATATTACACTGTATTTGAGCTAGAGAGCATTTTTTTATTAAATGGACCAAAAAAAAAACAGTTTTTATAGGAAAACTATATTTATTTTTCAATTCTTGATCTTTACAATGTTCAACAAAGTTATTTTTGGAATAAACTCAAGTTTTATCAAGTCATTGGTTGTGCGAATGGCATACTTTAAAAACATTTTTTTAATACAGAAATTTTTTAAGTATAACTATATGGACCATAGCATGCTATAATTACACACACTTAGAAATTATTATTTTTACATGAGACGTAATTCAGCTTTGACGTAAATCATGGAGCGTAAACAAACTTGGCATGTAAAATTAAGTGTCCTGAAACTGAAACATATGCAACTCGACAAAAAGTGCGTTTAATTGAATTGATTTTCTCGTCCTTTTCAACTAATTCTTATGTCAAAAGGGCCGCTTGCATGTGTCGGTCTCAGGGCACTGAAATTTACATGTCTTTTTCGTAGTGTGCATCATCAAAATCCAATTTTTTTAAAAATATTTTAGCATGTGAAATATCAAATCTTGGTACACGTTTTTTTTCACACGGTACATATCTCCAGTGCAAAAAAATACCTGAGTGTACACAACTTTGCCGAAGATACTATCCTCCCATAATTTCAATTGAATTAGTTATTGATACATTTTCAACCTTTTTCATCATATTTTCGTCGTGTGTATCTTTCCTAGGAGCAGGAAGGTGCAGATGCGGTTAGACGCCGTTAAGCAATTTCCACAGCCTCCTTCTTTTCCTACTCCTCCTTCATCCCCTAGTCCACTTGTTATCCCAGCTCCCCCCGTACCCATGAAAACAACAACAGCACCCCCGGCCCTAAAGCGTACCCAGAAGATTCGAAAGGTCTGTGGGTTGTTATCTTCCAACGCAAACAAAAAGCTTTGAATGTTAATTTGATTTCGAAGGATCTGGTAAAATACATTTCGACCATGACCGAGATTATGAAGGTGAGGCCAAACAAACTGCGCGTTACCGTTGGTGACCGTGAGTAGGAAAATAAAATTGTGGTAATTGAGCTTTTGTCGATGGAGTATCGAGTGTATCGAGTGTTGTCACCGAAGCGAGTATGAGTAGTGATGACTTCCTGAAAGACGGGGTTGATGTCTTCAAGAATCCTAACCTCGCGTAAATTCTAATTCTAGACTGCATTCAAATGCATTCAGTATC